TGCTCAGATGCTTTTTGGCCTGGGTGGTGGCTAACAAGCAAAATATTTTTGTTGGCAGGTGGCTTGGAACCCTGCCCCAGGCAACCAACCAGGATTCGTTCCCGCCCCATCCTTTCCATCCTGGAACAGAAGAAACGCATACACATACACACCAGAAATGAGCAGGATCCGTTCCGCTTATTTTCATTTCGTGCCAACGGGAGCTTGAGAACGAACGGCAGAGGAAGCCAGTAATAGCAGCAGCTCAGCTTCTGAGATCTGAGAGTCCTTCCCTTCCATGTATTCCAAACATAAAAGGCAGGAATATATATATATGAGCCATATATATATGAGCCATGACATGTGGCAGCTTTTCCTGCTCCTTCCTTCCTTAGGTGGCATACGCACAATAGATCCTACTATGGCATTGCAGCATGCATGGCGTGTTACTGGCCACGGCCAGGTGTCAACAGTATAGGTCAGCAGGATGGGCAACAAGATGTATACATACCGGCAGGCGAGATTTCATGGAGGGCAAGCCAAAAAAAAAGAGGGCATGGTACTTCTCTGGTTTATTTTTGGGTTGTGAGCCCTCTCGAAATGTCTACATGTGTGGTTTGCCGAGACAGCTGTGCATGTGTAATTTTAGTTGCTGCGAGGCCCAAGTGAGCAGGTGTGAGACCTTATTGCACCAGGAGGACAGGTAATGAGTGTTGTATTTTATCCCCCCACGTGTGATGTTTCTCGGAGCAACTTTGCCGTAGGAAGTGGAGCCCACAGATGCCGTTCTGCATGTGGCATAATAACCCATACATCCCACTCAACCTGCTGAGGTAACACTTCTGATCTCCTGTTCTCCACACATACACACACACCTGCAGGCCTTTGGATGGAAATCTAAAGCTCACTTAAGTGGATTGGATCTGTCTTCCTCCAGTTCTGCTGATTAGCAACTAGTTTAATTGGGGTACCATTTTGAAGAAAGGATCCTGGGAGTTTGGGGGTAGAGGGGACGCTAGTGAGCCCCCCTCTCGACCAGAAAGAGGATTGCTGGAAAAGCTTCATGGCCACCCGGGGCTGTCTGTGTGTAAGCATTTATTTTATTATTATTATTATTTGCTTCCCAGTGGGAAACTAGAAATCGTGTCCCGGTGAGCTGTGTTTGGCTCCAGGGTTTCTCCTTGTTGAACCCCATTCCAAACCATGTGATGGTCGTGGGAGTGAAGCTTGCCGGCTTCCTATGATTACTCCCAGTTTCTTTTTATGGGATGGGACTAGTGGTAGGGGTGGGGGAACAAAGAGACTCAAACTTGTGTAAATCACCTCTATGGGGAAACCTGGAGTTCTGTCCCTTCTGAGACAATAAAAAGTTGAATTCAAGGTTGGTTTTAAAGTTTCACTATCTGGAGCAGCTCAGTTTACAAGAGAACAATGGGAAGAGAAGGATGGTCTCTTGGGATAAAGTATTAACAAGGCCTGCTGCCCATCTTATTCAAAATCACAGTGGTTATTTTCCCAGAAACTGTTTTTTTTTTTTTTTAATATAACAGTGGCATACATGCAGCACCAAAAACTCAAGAGTTTCCTCCCTGCTGTTTAATCAAGGAAGGGTCTGCTTTTTACACTTTGGACAAATTCACACACCGCCTATGCAGAAGGGCTGACTCTTCCTCACGCACCTCAAAGCCCAGAATACGCCGTGCGCATGTGGCAAGACAGCCATCGGTCATCCGTGCAATGCGCCCGTCGGTCCAACATCAGAAACGCTGAGCATTCCAAAGGGTGGCTGGTGATCACGGACCACTGAATTCTGACGGGACGAATCCAGTGCAGCATCTGGTTACCTGAGAAGCTGAGCTTTTGCTTCAAGCAAAGAGCTCTCGCAGATGCTAAGAGAAATGGTTGCAAATGTGCAGCCAGCCTCTGCCCACATTTGGGGAAACACGAGAGGCTGATTAAGGGGAGATTCAAACAAGCGAAGGAGTTCCCCGGACAGGTTGATTCCATGGTTGATTCCACGGCAGACGTCAACTGATATACTACGGATCAATAAGGCCTTCCATGTGCCACACAACGCATACCTCTCTGCTCCTTCTACCACAGTGTTTTGCTTTTTTAAGTTTCTGATCTGCCCATTTCACAGCAGCATCATAAAAAATAAAGATAGCGTTCGGAACCCGTCCTAAAGAGTCCTCCCGTCAGTTCTTTGGTCACAATGGCCAGGAATTGGAAGCAAAGATTTTAAAGTGCTGTTTCAACGGGGGGAAACTGGTGGATCCTTTTAGGTCACTTTTCTTAGCTGTTTCGGTCAACAACACACCAGTAGGTAGTGGTTGACTCTCGTCGGGAATCACTCCAAGGCGGAAGTGCCTCTGAAGTAGGAATGGGGGGGATTTACAGGGTCTAATTCACGTGAACTTGGCTTCAAGTCACAAGTCAAAGCAACAATACACCAACATTTCAAAATAGCCGAAACCCTCAGGTTCCCCTACAAGACTTATCAACAGGTAGACGAAACACACACCAAAACAGGAACACTGGTAACCTTAGATAGGTACACAGTGACCTTGACACCACAGGAGATCAGAGGGGCTTTGAAGAAGCCTCCAAGATTTTCTCTTCTTACTAGGAACTCGGTTCTAGACAGTAAAGGTCTGCTCTTACTGTAAAATCCTTCTCTGTACACGTGTTTTGTTTTAATAATCATATATATACATATACAGAACAGTTATTTACATCCAAGTACACTTGTCTCTGTATAACGTAGCAGCATATAAGTAAATGATTTGCTTCCTATTTCAGTTAATAAGCACTTCCACATACAGACATAACAGCAGTGATTCTCCTGTAGTTTGATGCTAGCACTGCTTGTTCATGATGGCCAGCCCCTTCCTATTAGAAGAAGGCTACTCTGTCAAATCATAAATTCTGGGCACCATTAAAGGGTAGCAAATTGCTTGGGTTTGCAAGATGTCATTTGCCGAATCAACCTCTGTGGCTTAAAAAGGACAAAGAACTGGTCCTGCCTCTCTCTCTCTCTCTGATGACTAATTACAGGTTAGGACGATTTAGAGAAAAGTCTCTTCTGGGCGATTTATTTAGATGTTGAAAAGAAGCACCAATTAAGAAGCAACATCTCTAATTTAGGCAATGCCCATCTCACATTCAGGAGGCAAACAATGAATTCTGAAAGTGGTTCAAAGGGCCTCTGCAGCCTGCAATCTTCCACAAAAAACATCATTCTGCAGTCAGAGATTCACAAGAATATCTGTGCTTCAACTATAAGCTGTTATGGTTCCCCCTTAAACCCTAGACATGGTTGTTTCATGAACGTACCAAGCAGTCTGACGTAAATTCAACTATCCAGAGTAGAGAGTCATGGTATTAGGAGTCAAGACTTAGCAAGGCCCCATTGATTTAGTGGGTCTCTCTGTTCGTGACTGCCAATCAGATCCTGTCCCTTCTGTGTTAGAAAACACTATTGCATCTAAAGCCTAGAGAAAATGGTGTCTCCTTTCTCTCATACTCTCAACTAAAGTCCAGGATGTAGGATGAGTTCTCAACAAAAGTGGCCACTAGCAGAACTCAGGCAGATAAAACGAAGGACGCCCGTCTAACTAAACTGATGGAATTCACAAACAGAATTCGCAGTCAAGCAATGGGGTAACAGCTATTGGCTAAAAAAAATAGGGTTTTAAAAAAAAAAATTGGACTAGTTCATGGAATAGAGATGGATTTGTTTGCAATAGGGATTGGGACCTTTGTATTTAGAAGTAAGGTCCCAATTTCAGGAGGCCATGAAAGCAGATGCTTGTAAGTTTCCTTGACACAGCTGGTTGGCTACCACGAGAACCGGAATATCAGACTACTGAGACCAGAACTTAGAAAGTTACTTTGAAAGTTTGCTATTGTTATCTTTCCAAGGCCCCCTGAAAAGAGTTACAGCCACCTATGTATTTTGACAGAATTTAAGGTTTTCCAGTGGGATATCATCTCATTCTGTTTGCACCAAAAGTTTCATTTGGCATAATAACTTCTAGGGACTCCCGTCCATGTGATCCGGTGCCATTCCTGCAGTCGGCAAAAGCTTACAACAAATAACACCTGATAGTCTTTAAGGTGCCACTATCATCTTTGGTGATATTTTTAGAGGATCTCTTTGCTTTCCAGTTTCTTAAAGGCAACCAAAATATCATTGATCAAAAATAACACCTCAAACGTTTTAAGAGTCGCAAGCTATGTATGCCTGACGTCTGAATTCTTCTCCAATTCTTATAGTTGGCTCAAACAATAATTAAGCACAAGGTAGCACTTCAGTAATGCAATATTCCTCCTTGGTTTCAAATCCCTGTAACTAAAGGAGTAACTTTTATAAATTACTATCACACTGCAAAAGGAGTGAAGTGATTCTTTGTTAAGTTACAACGTTAATGCAATTTAGTTATTACGTTATTGCTGGACAAAGGAATCAGTTACAAGTAACTGTAAGTAATTACTTCCATGATCTGATATGGACTGTGATATGACAGGCCTTGCAGGTGGTGTTCATGGGTTCCCCTTGCTTATCTGGGAAGTCAGACATTTGCATGAGCTTGGAATGGAATTAACTTTGCAGTGCAGATTTGCACCGAACTTCCGGAGGCTCGGCTGTATAATTTTCCCATTTCCCCAACACTAATTTGGCAGCCTTGTTAGTAGAAGAATGCCGCTATCGTTCCAATTATCACATCAGTGCTAAAATCTTCCTGAAATGCCAGCCTAGCCTTAGTTCCTGGTTTCCTCTTTAGGGCATGGAATTTGAGTTGCATCCCACGTCCATGAATAATAGTTTCTTATCTGTCTTGCACAGCATTCCTTTTACCAACCAAGATAAGATAAGAAACTCAGTTCAAGAGTGTGGGAAAAGTGGAAACAACCTGCCAAGGAAAATCTACCCCGGTCTCAAGAATTGAAAAACAATTGCTTAAAAAATTGATCACAAATATGTGTACCCGATTAAAGTGATTCATCCGGAAACTATATCCACACGTAAACAGCTCCTGTCTGCCTGCATTTCTGTTGCTTCACCAAAACCATCTTGTATGAGAAAGCTCCTCCTCTCTTAAGCCAATCTGGGTCCGATTATGCACCTATTTTTTGCTTTTATGTTTTCCCTCAAGGTGTAGAATTCCTTCAAAGCCTGGTGCCCGAGCAGTCAGACTTGCAAATGAAGTCTGTGTTTACCTCCAAGTGACCAATTGCAAAACCAAAGCGAGCCGAGCTCATCACAGGATAACCAGACAAACTCTTGCTTATGAAAGGAATTCCACTTTTGACGACAGATCGTCACTTCTAAGACCTAATGGGCCAAAACGAAAGGAAACATTAAAAAATAAGGAAGATAAAAAAATGTTGTGGTTGCTAATGGCTTAAAGACTAGCTGCTGTATTTTAACGTGAGCTTTTGTGGACAAAAGTCCACTTCCTCAGACTTCTAAGAGAGGGGAAGAAAACCTTGCCACCTTGAGCAGAACAGGATCTGTCCTGCCCGGTTCTACTCGCTTATCCAAGTTGGTTCAACTTGTCCTGGCTTCTCTCATGGATCGGCATTTCTCCAAGGTACTATCGGCGCTAACTGCTTCACAGACTAAGGTATCCAGGGTTGATCCGGGGAAAGGGGCGCTTCTAACTCAGGGTTAGTATGTGAGTCTGTGGCAGAAAAAAACACAGAATCTCATGGCAGCTTAAAGGCTAACTCATTTTACTGATATAAGTTTTTGTGGCTTCCAGGCCATTTACCGTAGTGGGACGTCTTGCATTCCTACGACGTTTGTGACACCTTTGTGTGTATTAAAGTCTGCTTGTGTGGGTTGCAGTCTATACAGCTGAAGAAATGGGCTGGAATCCCCAGCGGCTTATGTCAGCACACTTTGATCGCCTTTTCAAGTGCCCTGAGACTCTTCAACTATGAAACGAGAACCGCCCTGCAAAGACGTTTTCAGAAACAGCCGACCTGCGCGTAACATGACCGCAAGAGTTGAACCCTGACTGGCCACTACGGCTAAAAAACAAAACGACAACACTCTTGTAAAAAGATTTCTAGTTGCTTTCAAACCTCGATGGCCTCAGAAGAGCGTGAAGAGAAATTCTGGCAATGGAATACTTAGCCATGTGCCTTTGTCAACAGTGAGCTCATAAAAATTAAAACAACAATTAAAAAAAAATCTGGAACACCCCCTACCCCCTAAAAATCCACACATCTCCACTCATACACAAAACCCAATGTCAGGTCCTCCATAGATCACAAAAAGCACACCTGTGGATAGATAGATATATATATTTTTCCTTTGAGTAACCCCTAGAGCACCACAGCATGTTGGAGAAGATTGGTGCAGGCGCACACACTGCTGGTTAGATAGCATAGTCTCCTAAGGAAGATCACCGGCTGAAGTGCATGCACAGTAATTAGGAGGGGAGGGGAAGAAACATACTTTGAATGACACGGTCCTTTCTTTAGATCTCCGTTGACTCTATCCTCTCCAGCCTGGAGGGAGTCCATGTTTTCTTCTCGTCGCTGTGCGGTGGGCTGGTCACTTTGCTGGTCATTTCGTTGACTTTGTGCTCCAGAACCTGATTTTTCTGGTACATCTCCACATAGTTCAGCTGAAGCTGCTTCTGGTATTTGATGACCTTCTCCTTCTCCTCCTGCCAAGTGCGTCGCTCCCCCTCAAAGTCCGCCACCTGCTGCTCTCGCTGCTGGCGCTCTGCCTTCAGCTCCGCCTGGAGCCTTTCCACCTCCTTCTTCAGGGCGCCGAGATGTTCCTCGCTCTGCCGCTTCATCTTGGCCTCGTCGCTCTCGCAAGCCAAGGGGTCTCTGGCAATTTTCTCCGCAGCCTCGTTATTGAAGTGGCTGTGGTGGCCTCCCAAGCTCGCCAAGGTTTGCTTCAGGTTGGAGACCTCCAGCTCGCACTGACTGAGTTTCTCCCTCAACATCTGCACCTCGCTCATCTTCCGCTGGAGTTCCTTCTCGCACACCTCCAGGCCGACGCTTTTGGTGCTACAGGAATCCTTCAGAGTCAAGATCTGCTCCTCCTTCTCCCGTAGGAAGCTTTTGCCTTCCTTGAGCTGGGTGCGCAACCCAACGATCTCGCTGAGCTTTTGGGAGACGTCCGCTTGGGAGTCCTTCAGCTGCTGCTTCAGCAGAGAGATCTCGCCTGCCTTTTGGCACACCTAGAAGAAAAGGTACAGTCATGAGACAACAGCTCAAGCAGCTCTTGCTCTAGAGCAGCTTCTGGGCCAGATCATAGCTTAAAGCAGACCTGGGCAAAGCGCGGCCCGAGGGCCACATACGGCCCACGAGCTGCTCCCGTCGAGCCCGCTGCTTGTCGCTCCATTCTGGTGTTCAAACACTTGTTCAAGCCCAAGACAGACTGGATTTCTCCCACTGAACAAGTTGAACATCAAAACCATTTATAGCTTTTTGTCTAAAGTTGATCAGTTCCTTATCTTTTATTTTTAAGTAAAGTTGGTTTAGCCCCCGAACACAATTCAGATTTTTAATGTGGGCCCCCTATAGAAATTAATTGCCCACCCCTGGCTTAAAGCACCTGCCTATTTCTATCCCCCTTCTAACGTTATCCCTCCAGACATACACATCTTTCAAGCATTTTTTTATGCAATGTGCATTTTTATGCAGCATTTTTTATGCGACGTGCTTGCATGTCTGACATCACTCAGCAGATAAAACGCAGATCAGAAACGACTTCACCAAATGAAAGTTGAAGCAAACTCCCGCGAGGACAAGCACCATCTTTTCATTTTGTGGAGGCACTGCTTCTAAGGAGATGCTTCACTGGTTCCATGGCATGATATAAACACAGAAGCTCGGAGAGTTCCTCTCCCGGACACCCCCCTACACAGTAATACTCTTCATTGGGGAGTCTTATCTCCGAGTCCAGAGAGGCAACACATTTTTTTACAGCTGCGATGAAAAGCATTCCTTGCCTATCAGGGTTGATTCACTGTTTACACTGTGATATTCTAAAAAGAGCAAACACATATTTAAACCCACATTCTATGCAGGTTGAAATTATGAGGAAAGAAAAAAGACTCTTCTTGACCGGCAGATATCGCAGGTCAAAGCAGTCTCCAGGACTAGCTTTCCTGTAAAAAGAAGCAGAAAGAGGGAAAGGAAAAAGCAGGGCCACAGATTGCCTCTGATAGCGACCATCTCGGGTGATACACTGCATTTTTCAACAAAGCGAAGGACCACACCTATTATGGGACTCCTTCGCCTCCTTTCTTCACCTCTCTTACAAGCCATCTGGCTCCGTCTGCTTCTAATAACTTCAAAGTCTTCTCCTTTCTCCCGTTTTCCCACACAACGTCGTATTCAAATACATACATTCCCACAATGGGGAATCAGGGGGCTCACATGTAAACCAGCTCCGAAAAACAGAGGTCATCCTAACAATGCAAATATGTGCTTTCTCGATTCTTGTGCAAGCAAAGTGAAAACCACGAGGCTATATTTCTCTCTCTCTCTCTCCTTGCTTTGCAAGACAGCGAGACATTTCCTACCATAATCAGTGAGAGTCCTCACACTCGAGGGAATTATATTTGGTGCCGTTTCAAAAATTGCAATTGCCGCTACCTGGTGGCAGAGACTTTTAAAAATTAGAAGCATTGGTGGCAGAGTTTTTAAAAATGCACCGAGAGGCCCAAGGCAGAATGTTGATCTGAGACTGTTTCCCACTGCCGCCTTCTCGTAGCACCTTAGACCTTAGATTCTTAGAATTGCCAAATTGGAAAGGACCCTATGGATCACGAAATCTGACATCCTTGTGTTAAGATTTTAAGACTAAAAGACAATACGCCCAATGACTCAGGCTCGGATTGGAGGACCACATCTCTGGGAACCAATGAACCGTATCACCAAAAAGACCGAGGAGCAGTAGCATGGTTTCCCAGAAGTAACATGATATCCCTCAATATTTCATCCTAGTTACCTGCCAAATTCTAGAATTCGTTTCAGCTCCGTGCACCAGGCGCTGCATTAGACCAGCCCTCCCAAATTTGACACCCTCTGGATATAATGTACTACATATACTATGATCCCCAGCAACATCAGCCGCTTTGTCACCTGGAAGTACCTTTCTTGGTATTTTAAGGGTGAGTTGCACCAACAAATAAATGGTAGAGTTCGTTCACTTTCCAGGTGCTTTGAGTATAAATCTCATTCATGAGCTAGGCAGATTTATTCAGGTACACCCGATGCTTAAAATAAATAGACATAGAGCATAGGAAGGAATTTTGTGGTGTTGTTTCTGAAAAGCACAAAACACAGAATCATGATTTGGCATTGAAGGAGATGATTCATTCTGCTGATCCCTTTCGGCCCAATCAAGAGCCACAAGGGTGGCCTCATTTAGGACAGAGAAGAGCAGAGATAAAGCTGAGCTACTCAATATTGTTCTTTAATGCCTGCTTAAGCAGCATAGCACTAAAAGCAACAGAAGCTGCCTCTGGACCAGTCTTAGGACATCTCCACCTCAAGCCTCTGATGGCAAACATATCACTGAAGCTTGTTAGGTGGAGTTCGAAATCTATGGGTCCGGTTACAGGGTGGTCCCAGGACCACAGCGAGCGATTTTGGCACCCGGGGCGTCATTGCCCTATTGGTTAGGTTTACGTCTCATGAGACTGGTATAGGAGGAGAGGAGAGAGGAATGCAGAAGGTGGCCTAGATCCGGGTGTAACAGCTGTTGGCTTTGGGCTATAATAAATAATATATGCCCTATAACTTTGCAGAGTTTTCAACTTGAAGTGTTTATATTAAAAAAAAACACCACCCCACTATTGTATAAGAAGGTTGCTTTCCCCACCTCCTCAGCTGATCTCCCAGTCACATGCAAGAGCACAGACTTCTCTGCCCCACCCTTTCCTCTGATTGGGAGATCAGCCAAGAGGGCGGGACCACAGAAGCCTGAGCTCTTGCCGGGATCGGGAGATCTGTTGAGGAGGTGCAGGAAGGTGCAAGCTGGGCCTGGCGAGGGGCTGATTGAGACCAGAGAAGGCAAAGGAGGGGATCAGCAGCACTTGTGCTGCCACGTTGATGAACTGAGACGAACCAGCTCGTGCCCATCTCTAGTCGGTACACTAACGCACAACTCTCTTGTATGGTTTGTACCATTAGGTTGATGGGCTAGACATGGGCTGTGCAGCAGCGCACAGCTGAATTATAAATGAAAAAGCAAAAAGCGTGTTGCTTATATACCGCCCCATCAAGCTTCAAGCACTCTCTGAGCGTTTTTACAAGTTAATTATGCAGGCTACACACTGCTGCCACCCCGCAGTAAACTGGGCACTCATTTTACCAACCTCAGAAGGATGGAAGGCTGAGCAAACCTCAAGCCGGCTACCTGGGATTGAATCCCGGGTCGGGAGCACAGTTTGGGCTGCAGGGCAGCCGTTGAACCACTGCGCCACAAGTTGCGTGAATCAAGGAACAAATGGGTACGATTCCTGCTGCCATGCAAATTAATTAATTAATTGGTTAGTTCATCAGTCAGTTAATTACATGCCGTCGAGTTGATTCTGCGTTTTGGCCACCCCATTGCCAGGGAGTGGTGGCCGTAGCATGTCAGAAGCAGTATTAGACTACGATGATTCCATGCCACACTGGGGAAAAAGGGAAAATGCATATATATGTGCTTGTTAAAAACAGAGCGCAACACGGTTTGGAGGGCTAACAGAGGCCCACCCCATCGACAGTCAAGCCCAGGCCTCTATTAGGAGTCACACATAAAATCCAGAAAAGCTTTATCGAAATAGCTGCATAGTGAACAATGTTAGTGGACTGCAGCTTCCATCATCCCCAGCCAGTAGAATCATGAGGGACATTGGGACCTGTAGTCCAGCAGCATCTGAACAGCTGCACGTTGCCCATCCCAGAATCAGAGCCCTAGAAAAGGCAGGCTTGGTGTTGCCACAATGGGGTTTCAAGGGGCTGTCATTATGGGCCATTGCTTATTACACTGCTTTGGAAACAGCCAGTTGAGTTTCTCTATTTCCTTTCATTGCAGCCCCTTGTTCTAACTGAGCAGGTCCTCATGTACTGAGTAACCTATATGATAAAACATGCACTTTGAGCCTGTGCTAATTGCTCACACCTCTGCCTAAGCACTCACATGAGTCTAGGAGCTAGAAAACCATATTCTGATGAACACACAATTAGATCATTTGAGGACATTTTCAATTCTGATGTTCCACCCTTGGGCCCTACCATAAATTCACTACTGTTTCTTCTGTCATACTGGGTACATACCTGTTGTACAACCCCACATACTGCCTATAGTTTGACTAAGAGGGACCTTTCTGGGCTGCACCGGCTGTCTATCTACCTAGCACTAACCAATCCCGCCTCAGAATTCCAAGAGAGACCCACCTCTCTACCGAGTGTTCTCTTTCCCTCTCAAGACTCTGTTGAAGTCTATTGAAGGCAGCCATGTTTGTCTGCTCTCTTCAATTGCAAGTAATAAAACTTTTTTTAAATTTTCTCCTACTAATGTCTCAGAGTGAGTTATTCAGACTGTAAGTGCCCATTGATGAGGAGAAAAAAAGGGATGGACCAATCTGGGAAACCAGAAACTATTCTGCTCTCTGAATCCCTGCGCTTCCGCTGTGCAGCCAAAGGAATTCAACCCGAAATTGAAAACTCAATACCTTGCCTGCAAGGTGGGGAATATGTGGCCCTCCGAATGTAGTTGGCCTGTCTAGGAAGCAAAGCCAACGGTGAGCAATTGTGCAAGATATAGTTCAGCAACATCCACCAGCAGCTGGTGGACCGAGTGGAAGGAGCCTCCCTCAACCGTTCCCGTTGACTCCCTCCTTGGACCACGGACCGCCCCACCTTGACAAGCTCTGAAAGGCCACCTCTGCCCCTCGGGATTCTTAACGGTGCTCAGCACTCACCTCCCATTTGGTCTCCTCAATCTTGGGAAGGAACTCGGCTTGCTCTTTCTTGAAAGCCACAAACTTCTTCTCCAGCTCTTCCCGCTGCTGAAGGAGTTGCCCGACGTCATCCTGGAGCTTCTTCTTCTCTTGTTGAAGCTTGAAGATCTGGAGCTGCAGGGCCTGTTGGGCTCGTTGGGCCTTCTTGGAGACCTGCTGCAGTTTGTTGGCGTAATTTTGCCGCAGATCGTCCATCTCGCGCTCCCAGATCTTTTGTTTCTCCTCGAAGACCTGGTAGATGGCCGCCTCGCTCTTATCCAGGTTCCTCCTCATCTGGAGGACCTCCTGTTCTTTCTCCCACAGCCTGTCCTCCAAATCCTGGATGATATCGTCGGTGGAAGGAGAGTGGAAAGGCATGGTCTCGTTGAGATGGTTGAGCCGGCTGAACGAAGAGGTGCTCTTGCTGGAAGATCGGCCGCTGTCTGAGGTAGATATCCCATTGTATCCCACAAGGTTTTTGTCCCCATAGGTCGTCCCGATGCGGTTGATGTGGCTGGTGGAGGCGCTCATCGGGCCAACGTGCTGGCTGTAGCCTGTGCCGTAGGTGGGCAAGCTGGTCAAAGAGTTGCGGCCCGAATCTGAGAGTCCGCCTGCCTGGTTGGTAGTCCTGTTAAGGCTGGGCTTCTCGAGGCCGCTTTTGACCGTGGAAGGGCTATTGCTGTTGGTGTGGTTTAAGGTCTTTCGATTCTCCGAGATCCCATTGTTCTGCGGCGGGCACAGATTCTGCATGGAGTGAAAGTTCTTGGGGACAACAGGCTTAAAGGCTGACGGTCTCACTAAGGGCTCGTTGCTCTGTCGAGAAGGAAGAAGACAGGGAGGAGAGTGAATGAAACACGGTGGGTTAAATAAGCTTTCTGATCATGCCAAGCTGCCCTCTGCTTGGGATTTGGTGTAGCTGGGGATCGGGGGCCGGAATACAGAAAGGAAGGGGAACTTTTTCAGCTTGAGGGTCAAATTAGAGATGGGCGCGAACCTCGGTTTGGAGGATCGTACTGGTTAGAAAAGTTCCCCTTCTCCCACCTCCTCTTCAGCGGTTCAGCCAGTCCCCGGCAGGAGCACGGGCTTGTCTGTCCCACCTCCTTCTCTGAGTGGGCGATCAGCCAAGGAGGCAGGGCATGGAAGCCTGTGCTCCTGCCGGGGACTGGCTGAACAGTCGAAGAGAAAAAGGAAAGGAACGCTCACCCACTGGTCAGTGGGCGAATCCAGCTAGGAGGTGGCGGTAGAGAACACATGACACTTGGGATGCCAGGCGCATGAATCGGCACAAATCTCCGAACCGAGGTTTGTGTCCATCTCTTGGCCAAATCCACTTCCATGGAAATTCTCAAGGGCCATCCTCCAGAGGCCAAAGGCATTTTATAGCTGGAAACTCCTACTACCAATATCTAAGCCCGAATACACGTATTTCAACCATGGACAATTAAGACAAAACAAACAAACAACTAGGAAACCACCACCATATAAAGCAAGGCAGGGGATCCCTTTACTGGACCACAATTAAACAAGCAAGCAAGCAAAAAGCTAGCATTTGACCTGAAAATATATAGCGAGTTGTTTTTTAAAAAATTGTTTAGTGGTCCAATAAAGGGATCCTCTGCCCTAGCGTTTGTGTTGTGTAAGGACCACACAGCTTGCTTTTGTTTTTTGCAGGAGAACCACCAAATATTAATAGCCTCGGGGAAGCAGCGTAACCCACTGGGAACCCCAAGAGGGACCTTAGAAAGGGCAGTTTCAGCTCGAGGGCCTGCAGTTCGAAACCCCTGGATTCTCCAGAAACAGTCTGCATGGGTTAGACCCGTCATTTATTTCCAGAACCTGCACTGGGTTCCATTTAGGCTCTACAGCTAGTTAAGAGCAGATCCGCGGTGACACCCGACCATGGAGGTTGGCAGGGGGGGGAAGGAACACCCTGTTTCCATGGCTGTCTTAGGGAAAAGGTGGAGAGGGGATTCCCAGCTTTGAAGGAGCTGGTAGGGGTGAAAAAATGCCTAGGAATACTGCAGGGTTGGATGGATGCTTTTGGAAACGAGTACCGTCAACACACTTGCTTTCCATCTGGTCAACATATATTTTGCAGATGACAGCAAAAGCCTCCCCCCCCCCCCAAATCCTGCATCCTGCTTGAAAGAGCACTCAGCTAGGGACCACAGGTGAGCTGGCAAGCAGGGCACGAAAACCAGCACTCAGTTCCACAGAGTCGAGGGAACATTAGAGCTTATGCAGTGTAACCTTCACAATCAACACAGGATCTGAAGTCTTGCCACGATGGTCTGTCCAAAGGACAGCGGCCCAACCTCTGCTTATCTAGCAAAGGACAGCCTGTCATCTCCCGAGAAGACCCACGGTTCAGAGGTGTCTTCTCACCTTTAGCTAAAATCCAGTTCTCTCCCGTTTCTGCCTCAATGCGTTTTTTTTAATACCCATTTGAACTTATTTAAGTTTGTTCTCTACACCTTTTGTGGCCGAGTGCCACAGGCGAACCCGGAATGAACCCACAGCAAAAGCCTGCTCAATTTTTCCTATCCTTTCCTCCCTTCCAGTTCCAGAACAAACCTTCACGGGTCGGAAACCACCAGGGAGGTAGAGCAGAGGTTGGTTGTGAGAAAAGACAGCCTACAAGGTGTTAAAACTGGGAGTTGGAGGAAGACCGTCATCTGTGAACCCCAAGCGTAAGTTCTTTGAAGGAAGCCCCTTCTCTCTGCCCCGTCACATGCATGCCGGGTGAGGCCCGCAGTTGCTCGGTAGACGCCATGCTTCCTACCCAACACACGAGGGTTGCCGTCTTTTGAGAAGTTAAATGGAACCTCACCTGGTCTAGCTTCCCAGAGACAGGCAATATCTTTGGTGGGTTACTGGGTTCTCTGTACTGGGGAGGGGGCGGCATATTCTTTTCGTTATTCGCTGCCACGTTCCCACAGAGGTCCATTTTCACTTTCTCGCTCTTCCGCAGGTCCCCGTTGATGAAGATGGAGTTGGCGATTTTTTCAGACTTGTAGGCCTTCTCCTCCCCGGAATAGCGGTTGGAGAGCTCCCTCGTTGAGTAACTATTCCGGGACCCATCGTCCGGCCGTCTGCTGTTCTGAGTCCGGGTGCCGACGCTCTTCATGGCAAATTCTTGTTCGTTGGCCACACCGCTGCCGACGCTTCCCATGGTGCCCTGGGAGGCGGGTTCGGCGAGCCTGGGGTCGAAGGGGCGGAAGGCCTCCTGGCCGTGATAGCTGGGGTCACTGAGGACCGAGAGGGTCTCCAGTTTGGCCATGGCAAGACACGGAGGCCGAGGCACGAGTCCGTGGCACTGGAAGAGAGAGAAAAAGGCAGAAAGATGCATGAAGACGATCCAGCAGGTTCCTGATCGTTCGGCGTCAAAGCAGAAACAAAAGCCAAGGAGACAGAGGGAATCGGCTGCTAGAGCTGGGGATCAAACACAATTCGGAAGCTCCTCTTTTATTTTTTTTTGAACGACACTCAGTGGCCAAGTTGGATGGGGGATCCCGGTAGTTGTAGTCCGGAAAACGGGGAGGGGGGTGCAAAATCAAAGCTCTGGAAACAAAGGACAAAAATAATCTGCAAGAGGATGGGGAAATCACTCTGTTATTAAGATAAGACCCAAACAAATGGAGTCAACATGTACTGTACTGTAAGAAAGGTGATTTTCTGCTAAGCATTAGGGGGATTTTCTGGACAATAAGAACTGCTCACTAGGAGGACAGACTGCCTGGACAGAGGCTGAATGGCCATCAGTTTAGCTGTGGATTCCTGGACCAACAGGGGGTTGGACTAGATGGCCTTCCGGGTCCCTTCCAACTCCACAATATTTGTAATTTTGTAATGCTGTTACTATGCCCCCATTTGCCTCCTTTCTTTCTGCTCTGGAAGTATTTCTTGGCGCAGATGACAGCCTCAAAATCAAGACCCCTCTGCCTCTCTATTCAGGGGCATATCTGACTGTGCCAGGAGAGGTCAGGACGAATGTGGCATGAATCGGGGCCCTTTATAATGGGAGCTGCAGCTTGGGGGGGGGAATGGGTCAGTCACAAGTCAGCGTAAGGCAACTAACCACCACTCAGAAACAACAGGGGAGAGTACAATGGCTAGCTTGGCACAAAACTACGTAATTTACTGGCAGGAAAGGAATTATAATGTCACATGTGCAGTAGAACACAACTATTGACATCCTCCTGCTTATCGTCACAACACACACATCCACACACCAGTGTCATGCCACAACACAAAAAGTTACAGAGAGCAAGTGTGTGTGCGCCAGCAAATAGTCACAAGCTTTGCCGAGCCTCAAATTCTTATTATAACCATTCAAACGCATATGCAGCTGGCATACAATATGTACAGTATGACCCCCTTATCTGTGGAACCAGTATCTGCTGATTCGCTTATCCGCAGTCCGAAAATATTAAAAATATTGAAAGAAAAATCATAGAAATACAGTATATATTTCTAAAGATGGAGTTACCAGAACTGGCCACTAGAGAGAGGCAGAGACCATGTTATGTAGTTCACTATTACAGTAAGGTTCACTATAACCTACGTTTTTCTGCATCCATTAGCTTAAGACCAATCTCTTGTGGATAAGGGGGTCTTACTGTACAGTCCGGTGCATCAAAGCAGCTGCGACTAGATAGAACACTAATATTAGGGGGAATGTGATGGTACTAATATCATGTTCCTGTTCCTTTTTTTAAAAAAGTAGAATTAGCAGGGCCTTTTTTACAGCCACCCCACAGTTGAACTTGCTATCAAGAGATGTTCCTGTAGCCTCCTGCCTGATTCTCTGTTTCAGCCCTAACTTAGACCCTTCCTAAGACTGTTGCCGTGATTGCACATCATCATTCTTCCTTCTTCGTGGTGTTAAAACCTGCCGGGTGCACCCTGTAGCAAAATGAGAAGAAGAGGAAATCCAACGTGGCTCCTTTATCGTTCCTGGGCACTTTGAAAGAGGATAAACTT